GTAGGTCTCCTTCTTCTTAGCCATCGGCTGCTCACTGAAAAGTTTCACCACCTTCAAGGATTTCGAGTCAGTGGGCCTGGCAACCTCACCGAAGAGCCGGGCGCTCAGGCGACTCATGCGTAAGGCGTATTCGGAAAGTGAAGACATTTCCTGAGCAGCGGCGAGCAAGGCTCCCTACAGAGAATGAGAAGAAAGAGAAGGTTAGTGTGAGAAATTCTCAGATGATCTATCTAAAGGCCACATGAGAAAATGGAAATAGGGCAAGCCACACAGAAACACTGTTGGCAGGACTCTCCCGGCGGGCTGAGAAGCAGCCAGAGTCCAAGTGGCTACCTCCTCTGCCTGCGTCACATGGGTGATAGTTAGTTTGTGGTGGCATCCTAGCATTCCCTTGCTGTATTCCCCCTCTTACAATGCACTGTTTTGTGATTCAGAAGGTTATTTACTGGCAGTCAATTTACCCATTTGTAGGCTGGATGGTGAGGACAGGGAAACAAGTTATTCCACTGTAGCACTGTTATTACACCTTTAGAAAACAACCACCTAAGCAATCTGCAAATAAATATGCTGACTGCTTGCCATCTAAAGGTGTAATCACGGTGGAGAAATAATTACGCTGTTGTCTTTATCACCAGGCCTTGGAACGCTGCTCCCCTCAAGGGCACCAGATGGCTCTGAGAACTGCTAATGAGCTATGAGGTCATTTGGCCTCTAGGTTACTGGAGTGAGTTCTGCCTGGAGACTGAGAGCCACTTGGGAAAAACACAGAGTAGCCTCATGGAAATAAAAACTCAATGGCTTGCAATAAGGATCAACAGCTCAAAGAATTCATTTTATTCCCGAACAAAAGGCACCTAGGAATTATGGATTACCTAGAAATTATGGATTACCGCAATACAAACTAACTAAATTCTTATTGGCAGTAGCAACTTTTTCTTTAGTAGCCGCACAAAATGCCAAAATAGACAATAAATAAGAATGACAGCCATAACATGCAAGAATTATAGCTAATAGACATCAAAAGTCTACAGGGATGCATAAATATCTGGACAGCTGCTGGTGGAACAACTATGCTATTTATTCCATTTTCGATCAGATGTATAGGTTATTGTTAGCTGAATGTGAATTTATTATTGTTGGCTGGGATGAAAAGGAGCTGATTTCCAAATAACAACAAAAAAGGCATAAACCTGCCTTGAAAAACCAAGGGGAGAATTATAACAAAAAAACCTTAACAGATATGGTACCTCAAATTTTTATACATTACTTTTATTTATTTATTTATTTATTT